CAGAGATGATTTAAAAAGTAAAATAATCCTTTTCTGCGTCAGAGCAGCAGTAAAAACATAAACATGACTAAACTTCATTACTATAAAATAAAATAATTAAATGATCTCCTGGTCTCTGTGCAGTCCCTGTTACTCTGTTGGCTTCTTTCCTCTCATGACTTAACAGCACTGCTTCGTCTTAAACCCTCCTCCTCTTCCTCCTCCTCCTCCTCTCGTCCAACCCGTCCAACCAGCTGGACCAGCTGCTGTAGCCCGTGTTCTTTACCATCTCTGTGGGATATGTAGAATATCAGGTCTTTACTTAGTTCATAAAACTCAAACTGAAGCTAAATCAGGTCGACTTCCCATAATTTCTACAAAAGGTGATTACTATTCTTCATTAGAATCAACGCTTCCCTCTTTTCAGACTCAAGGTTTACTCCCTGTTCTTTATCGGATCTGGTGACGACGATGACTTGATGTGTGCGGCCACGTGACTCGAGATAGAAATCAAGAAAAACACAAGTGCCAGTCGGGAAAATTCCACTGCTCCTGCATTAAAAGACAAGAGGTACAGTTCTGTCAACACCGCACTCATCAGAGCCTCATACCTGCCATTCCTCCACCCTGTCGCTCTGGAAGGGTTACCGTCCAAACAAGAACGTCGACGCAGCTCAACCTTTTCCCGCTGCACAGTCCGGGTTCCTTTACTTTTCACTAGGAGCGCTGTGGAAACGCACAGACTGAGAGAACGCCTCGTGACAACACATTTAAATATGTGACGCTGAGTATCACCTGGTTTGTAAACACTGCAGGGAAATGTTTGATGTTCACAGACTCAGCTCATCCTGAAACTGAGCAGCGATGCTTCATTCTAATGAAAACCTGCTGCAGTACGAAGGCCCCTGAAACACTGAAAACAATGGCTCTCAGTAGAGCGGACACCTCTGCCAAAGCCCAAACAGAACCCCAACATCCCACCAAGCTCCCTCAATGCACGCCGTTTAAAGAAAGTGACCCGAACACTGGACGGGGGTTGGTCGCATTTTGGGCGGCTCAGTGGGTAGAGCGGTCGTCCTCTACCCAGGAGGTCAGCGGTAAAGACTAGAAAAGCACTATGTAAATACAGAGCATTCCCACAACCCATACTGCATCATTCTACCAAGTCTCAATGTAATCCATCCAGCAGTTTCTGTCATCTTGCTGACAACAGAACCTTCAGCTGAACACTGGTGTTACTCCAGTGTGAATCTGTAAAACATTTAACTGACAGTTAGTCCAACTTAAACCTGCGTGACACGACAGGAAGCTGTTCAAACATGGCGTCTAACATAGGACTTGTTACACAGGGACTGGACTGGAGGGATTAAAACCAGAATAACCCGAGTTAAACCTGGACGGATGGGAAACACGATGTGAGCAGGACAAAAACAAACTTTATTTGCTCTAGAAAAATGAAAATAAACAAGATAAGGAGCGTCACACGAGGGTGAAACTCATCATTTGGATATTAGTCGGTTTGAGTTGGTGGAGACGTCGCAGTAGCAGTCCGTACGTAAATTTGAACAGTCAACAAATGGCGAGCAGCTAAAAACAAAGCGTCATGTTTGTTAATGAGTCCACGGTGAGTCGGCACTGCAGCCGCCACGGGAAGATCACATCCACGTGCTGACGCAGAAAGTTTATGATTAAACCCGTCGCTGAGTTTGTGACCCACTTCTCACTTGGTCTCTCCGTGTGTCCTGGGCTGAACGCTGTCAGTGAGCCAGCTCTGTCAGAATCTGCCATAGTGAGCTACAGCAGGAAATCATTTGTAGAGACACGGAGCAGCTCATGTTCAGAACTGGCTGCACACAACTACATTTTCCAGCCTTTCCTCTTTATTTTTATGCATTTCAAAGTCATTTTCCTGTTTTTACGCTGCCGTGTGAGACGGAGGGAATGTGCCCCTGGGCTTCTCATTTCTTGCCGTCTGTCCCCTGAGTCCTGGTCTCCTCTTCAGCCCAGCTCCTCTTTTGTTTTCCCCTGCTTACGGGGCATCTTCTTGCTGCTGCTGTCCTCCAGCTCTTTGCTCTTGTAGTAGTGGGGAGCGACTTCAAGCAGCCAGCTGCTGTCTATCTCGATCACCTGCGTGGGAGGAAGAGGGAATACAGTTCAATATTGTACAGGAAAGTTGTCCGCACTTCCTCATTAATGTGCAGAGTCATGCACCACACACAGTTTTACACAGACGTTCAGTGGAATCCCTCTAACTGGACTCGTTTGACACGTTTTCTGTAGAAGCACATCTGAAAAACAGACCTGTCTCATGAACTCCTTGGTGGTGAAGACCAGCTCGTGGTAGATGAGCCAGCGGGGCTGCTCCTCGAACAGAGAGCTGTTGGGGTGTGTGTAGACCGTCTGCTGGTGCTTCACCGTCTTGTAGCCGCCTTTGCTCAGTCGTGCCGTGTGGTAAAAATATCCTGCCGTCACCGCCTGGGAAGAGCATGCGGGGGGGGGTCAACATGATAATGGGTCATCCAGTCACAAGAACAACACCATGTGAACTCGAAAGGCCTCTCAGTAGAGACCGTACCTGTGCTGAGGCTTGATAATTTACAGTTTAACCATAAACCTACCAGCATAGGAATAATCTGCAAAGGTCAACATAAATGCACAAGAGGAAACGTCTGTGAACGGCTCATGTCAGCCACAAATATTGGGGTTTTCCTTTTTACCCATTTGGCTGCAGGATTTCAACACCTGTAAAATGCAGCTTGAGGTGAAGGAATGCGTATCCCGGCTACTTAAACGAACGCCCTTCTGCTTATCTCAGGTGGTTTGGGTGTGTGCTCACAACACACAGTAGAGTCTGATATGAGGGTATTCACACAGCCTCTGTTCACAGACCTTACACCTTTCCTCGTCGAGCTTCAGAACAATGTACTGTTTCTAGAACAGTTTCCATCGGCCTGTATATCTGAGTGACCTTTCACCTCCCACTGAAGACATACAGCCAAATAAATAAGGATCAAAGCTTTCACCCCAGAGGCCACCAGCCCGTGTTTCGTCCTGTTCTCCACTGGATCAAGTTTCAAACTGTTGTGTCTCATCTCCACTTGTTTACGTTGTTAAGCCTTCGACTGTAACATGGTCGCAATCTTTTGTTTAAGTCACCGTCTTCATCATCATCATCATTTTCTGAGCGGTTCAGTTCCTCTGTTGTTTCTTCAAATCATTGCTGAGGTCGTTGCCACAACTTCCCAGCTCCGAATCAGATCGTTCTGCATGAGAACACTTTTATTTATAGGTGAGTGATCACGACAGTCAGAGCGAATGCTTCCTGTTTGTCTGCTGATGTTTGCTGAGCACGTAAACACGTTAAAGACTTTACCACGAAAAACAACTGCGGCCTCATGTGAAGCAGAACTGGCTCCGAAAGTTGAGGAAGTTAACAGGTTACCATGGAAACAGGCAGGTTTCCTTGTCCCGTGAAGAGAAAAGAATTCAGGTGAGGCTGGAGTCATGTGTCATTCAACTATTTTTTTTAATTTCACTATTCAGTAAAATCTGCTTCAGTTATAAGTGGTTCTACTGGATGGATGATGACAAGAAATGTGAGCTGAGTTTATTTTTTGAAGCGCGGGACAAAAGACAAAGTTCCGTCTTTGCGGTGTAACGTGAGACGTCGTTTTCATGTGTGACAAAGGAAACCATCTGCAACGGCACTGATGTGGGTGGGCTGGGCACTCAGGGATAACATGGTAACTAAATAACAGCTTCTCTCACCACTGTTTACATAACAGGCTCAGCAGCCATGTTCACACTGAGCCACACAGAGCACGAAGAGGAAGCAGCTCACAGGTTTGCTGCGGTCGTCACCTCTGACGATATATATAATGCTTGAATGACACGGACGTTCATTTGAAACATTCAAACTAGTTGGTGACGCTGGTAGATTAAATACTCTCAAGTTTTATAATGCCAAGGAAATAAACAAATGAACTGGTACAGTCAACTGACAACGCGCCATTGTCAGAGGAATGTCTGTCTACGTCTCGTCAATGACGATGAGGACGGGATGCAAGAATGTCTCACAAAATGATTTAGTTTGTTCCATTTATTACAGTTTGAAACTAGATCAAATGCAAACAATTTAACGAAACGCCTTTAATTAATTTCAGGAACTGAAGTTGAGAATATTTCGGTCTCTAATCTGAGTTAAAACTTCGTGGGAAAAACTTTCTCTGCAACACTCACCTTGCGAATGGGCACACTGTCCTCCTGGGAGGTGACCACCTCCACCTCAATGCGATCCATCAGGCCCTCCAGCTGCTCCCTGACATCCCGGGCTCGTCTCATGGAGCGGAACTGGATGAAGTTCTCGTAGCACCACTGAGTGGAGAAGCCACTCTCCACCCACTGAGGGAGAAGAATTAAATGCTGTAAATAAGTTGTTCTATTGCAGTATATACAGTATAAGCCCGGTCATGAAGACAGGTTTGATTTGTACCTGTGTGTAGACGTTGAGCAGCACCAGGTGGTCTCCGCCTGGCACCACAAAGTTCATCCTGGCGTTGTCGGCGTGCACCATCTTGTCTTTGGGCCGGTAGAAAATAGAGTTGTTCACCGACAGCATGGCGGCTATTGTCAACACTTCCTCTGAACACTTGTACCTGGAGAGAGAGAAATAGTTTAATGACCCGTTTCATTATGAGAGGGGAGAACAGCAGCTGAGTCCAAATACACCTCTTTGACTTGGTTAAATTAAAAATATATTTTCAGTGAGACAATTAAGTTTGAATTCAAATTTAAATATTCTCCTGCCCTGTTTTATAAACTTAAAATTTCTTCCACTGAGCACATC